TATGAAAAGCAAAGTCATAAAGCCAGTTGAAAAAAATATTCTCATGGGGAATATTTATGTATTATCTGGGTGTGCAAGGATCGCTTAAGACAAAAAAAATGCATACAACATATAGGGAAAAAAAGATAGGTCTGATGATGTCATCAAAATTAAGGATTTGTTTTCAACAAAGGACTGTTAACAATGTTCACAGTATAGGAGAAAATACTTGCAACATCTAGACAGTCAAAGGGGGGCTCCCCTGGTGGCGCAGTGATTAAGAATCCGCCTGCCAGTGCAGGGGACATGGATTTGAGTCCCGGTCTGGGAAGATCCCATATGCTGTGGATCAAGTAAGCCTGTGCGCCACAACTACTGAGCCCGCGTGCCTAGAACCCGTGCTCCACAGCAAGAGAAGCCCACACACCACAATGAAGAGCAGCCCCCACTAGCCGCAGCTAGAGAAGGCCCGGGCGCAGCAACGAAGACCCAGCGCAGCCAAAAATTAATTAATTAAAAAATAAATAGTCAAAGGTATGTATCTAGAACTGTGTTGTTCAGTACAGCCCCACTAAACATATACGGCTATTTGAACTTACGTTTACATTAATTAAAACTTAAGATGTGGTCTCTTGGTTATCCTAGTCACGTTTCAAGTCCCCAAATAGCCACAATGACTCGTAGATACTGACTAGACTAGTGACTACTGTGAATCATGTTCCTCAAAAGAATATGTTGATACCCTAACCCCTGGGACCTGTGGATGTGCCCTTATTTGAAAATAGGGGTCTTTGCAGATGGAATAAAATTAAGTTATAATGGATTAGGGGACTTCCCTGGTGGTGCAGTGGTTAGGACTCCGTGCTCCCAATGCAGGGGGCCTGGGTTTGATCCCTGGTCAGGGAACTAGATCCCACATGCATGCCGCAACTAAGAGTTCACATGCCACAACTAAGGAGCTGGTGAGCCACAACTAAGACCTGGTGTAACCAAATAAATAGATAACTAAATAAAATACTTTAAAATTATAATGGATTAGAGTGGGCAATAATACAGTGAGTGGTGTCTTTATAAGAGAAAGGAGATGGAAATTCAGACACAGAAGCTCAGAGGAGACAGACAGAAAGGAGGAGGCCATAACAGGGGTGTCCTTGGAGATTGGAGTGATGTGTCCGCTAGCCAGGGAGCCCCAAAGATTGCTGGCCACACCAGACACTGGAGAGAGGCGTGAAACGGGCGTGAAACGTTCCCTCGGAGCCTCCAGAAGGAGCCACCTCAGGCAACACCTTGATTTCGGACCTCCAGCCTCCAGAACCATGAGAGAATAAAGTTCTGTTGTTCTAAGACACCCAGTTTGTGGTTTTGTTATAGCAGCCCCAGGAAACTAATACAGCACAGATAACATTTTCATAATTTTAGAAAGTCCTGTTGGACAGCACTATTTGTGGACCTCTTGAAAATCAAGAGGAAAAAGCCACAGCAATGGGAAAATGTACAAAAATTATGAATAAGCAGTTATTCAGCAGGGAAATTCAAATGGCTAATAGGAATAGTAAGTGGTGTGCAGCCTCTCCAGTGATCAGAAGAAAGCAAATTAAAATCAAATCCAGTTACTGCTACACAGCCAACAGATGGGCAAAGGCTACGAAACCGAACAATACACAGTGTTTGTGAGAGGTTGCGGGAGTGCTGACTGCTTTGGCCGTTAAGGACAAACTGATAATGTTGGTGGTTAGGTACACACACCCCTAAGATCCATTGCCCCTCACCTAGAGAAATCCTCACACGGGTCCCTGAGGAATGTGGATGGGCATTATCATGGCGACACTGTGATTAGCATTGCAGTTACCCGTGTACCCTCAGGGCTGAGGACAAGTCAGCCTGGTGGACACACACTAGAAATTGCATGCAATGAACAGAAACAATTAAAAATTTGTGCATTCTGCAACATGGATAAATCTCAAAGACACAGTGTTGAGTAAAAATTAAAAACAAGCCCAGCAGCACAACATCGGAGTGGTTGCCATGGAGGAAGGGAACGGCATGGGGAGAATCTGTCGCACTGGGATCCAAATTGAGCAGGACAGAGACACGTGGGACAAAGGAAGGAGACAGTCCAGATAAAAGTGGGGGAGGGGAAGGAAAGGCAGATCCCAGACGTGTGAGGCCACGTAATCAACGCAGTGGTTAACAGCAGAGCTGGGAAGTTCTGAACGCTATCCTAGCCCACCCACTCCCCACCTAAGAGCGAGGGAAACCCAGCTTCGTTACATGTGGCCAAGGGGACAGAGCAGCGAGTGACTCCCACCCAGACTCTCCATAAGAAAAAAAGAAGCGTGCTGACATCCCTGTAGAGAAGACAAGCCAGAAAGGCATGCCCCCAAAATAAGTAGACATTTTAACTGAATATATCGTCATAAGCTAAACAGAGTTAGGAAAACGAAAGTTATGAAAGAACACCCTGCATCAGAAATGGAGGGAACATTTTACTGAGGTCATTAGAAAAAAATGAAAGTTTGAAAGGACAGCCGATACAGCATAGAAATGAAATAACAGATCTCTAAAGGAGGGGGGATATCTGGGGGGACCTTGAAAGAAAGAGGCAGTGTGTGTGTGGCCCTTGGGCTCCTGACTTCAGAAGGTGCAGCCTGACCCCACCCTGGGATGTGGACGCTTCCTCCCCTCTTGGCCGGCGCTTGCTGGGGTCACGCTTCCAGTCCCCAGAGAGATGCGGCTGGAGGAGGCTCTGCGTGTCAGGGACCCAGGACTCTCTAGACTCAGGCTGAAGGGGCCAAACTGCCCATCCCCCGGGCCAGGGTCTCCAGCAGCTCCCTGGCTGTCCCTGTAGACCAGCTCCAACAGCCCAGTCCCCCAATCCTGAGATCACCAGGGAAACGCCAGCCGCACAGCCCTGCCCCAGTGGAGAACTGTCTCCTCTATCGCACCTCACGCTGCCTGCGCGTTTGTGCGCCCACCCGCACCCCCGGCTTAGCGGCCCCTGGGAGTGTGAGGTCCTCGCGAGCCAGCTCTGATGAAACCAGCTTCTCCTCGGAGGCCGGAGGCCTGAATGTCCGGGGCACCCGCGGAGTTAGCAGCTGCCCTGGGGGCCGTGGGGAGGGGCCTGAGCAGACCGGCCGGCCCGCATCTTACCGCCGGTGTCACTGCTGGGCCCCCAGAGCCTGCCACACAGGGCATTGGGCATGCGTCCACAGAATGACCGTGAATCCCTCCTGCTGGCTGAGTGAGGAACACAAGCTGTGGGTCAGCTTTGGGGAGTGAGCAGGGAGTGTGTTTGGTGGTGGAATTTCAAGGACCTCAGGATTCTGAGCAGGGTCAGGCTAGGGATGCAGCCGTGGGCGGGGGTTGTCTCGGCCTGGATGCGCATCAAGTCGTGGCACAGACAGGACCAAGCACGGACCACTTTCGCTTCTCCGCCTGGCTGATCTCACATAAGCCTCCACACAAGCCTCTGAGTTAGGTCCTATGACTGTTTCCACTTCACAGACAAGGAGACTGAGGCATTGAAAGGGTGCATGGCTCTTGAAAGGCAGGGCCAGGCTGACAGCCCAGGCAACCCTTCAGTGTTTTAGAATCAGAGCAGTTCTTTCTACTCCACGTCAGAAAATCATAAGCTTAAGGAAGTTACCTTCAGGCACCACGAGAAAGACGAAGTCTTGACTGAGGGACAAGGCATCCGGACCCCCACCTCCAGGGCACAGGGAAGCCGCACGTCTACCCGCCAGCCACGAGTCAGAGAGAGAGCGACCGGGGGTGGGGGGGGCCTCCTCCAGGACGTGGTGGGGATGGAGGACTGGGGGCTCGTAGGGGAGGAGCCTCGGTGTCCCCGCGCCCCCAGAATGGAAGGGCCACCTGGGGAAGCAGTTTTCAGGGGTGGCAACGGTTCAGGAGCAGAAGTGCTCCTCGTGGACACCAGCTGCATGCCGTCTCCAGGCCAGGGCTCCCCCACTGGACCCTGCTGGGCTGGACACTGGGCCTCCAAGAAGCCCTTGAAGAGAGCCCTGAAGAGGCATCTCTGGAGCAGAGGGCTGCGGGTCAGTGCTGACCAGCCTCGAGAATCGGCGGGTAGGACAGGCCTGTGGCTCTAGCTGGCGTGAGCCCAGTCAGGGCCACAGACAGGGCCCCAAATCAGGTGCACGGCTGGGGGAAGGGCCCAGGGCAGGCCTCCAAGAACTTCACAGTGGCCGGTTGTGAACCCAGCTGCACACAGGAGCTAGAGGATGGACAGCAGGGCACCAGGGCCTGGGACCAGGGCTGCCAGCCCCACCCTTGTGGAAGACACCTGAGCGCCTGTCACGGGTAGCCTAGAGCTGCAAGAGGAAAAGGTCCCCCAGGGAGCCAGGCTGGAGGAATTGGAACCCCTTCCACTCCTGCTGGCTGTCTAGACACTTCACTGCACCCTGCCCCCTTGGCGGGAGGGGGTATGAGTCACTCCTCAGAGCATGGCCCACCCCCAGCTGTTTGCCCCTCAGGGTCACAGCCGGCTCCAGGATCTCAAGGACAGCCTAGCCCAGGTGGGGGAGGCCCAGTAGGGAATGCAGGGGGTGACACAGTGTGCGCCACACACAGGGGACCCAGGTCCGTCCTCTGGCCCCCACCCCCCAGCTCTAGCACCGCATGGGGATGCCCGGGCCGGGGAGGGGGCCCTTCTGGAGCCACCTCACTGCTGCCTGTCACAGCTCAAGCGGGTCATTCCTGAGGCGGGGCTATTTCCAACTGCGGCAGGTGCCACTCCCCAGCCCCGCCCCACAGAGCAGGCCCCAGAGAAGATGCTTGTCCAAGCTCTGAGGGCGGACAGGCCAGCTGAGATACACCCTGCCTGTCCCTCTGCCACAAGCCACAAGGGCAGGGTGCCTGTGCTCCCGGCCTGGGCTAACCCCATGTGACCTGCAAAGGCTCCAGGGCCAACCACTGGGCTGATGCCTGAGGAGCTGGGAAAAAGGGGTTCAACTCTCCCCCCCACCCTTCTCTCCCCCCTCCCAAATAAGTACACAAGACAGTGGTTTGGGTCTAAGAATGATAGACATTTAGACACTGGCGCCAGGCTCACGCCTGACCAGTGCCACGCCAGGGGCGGGCAGAGCAAGGACAAAGAGGTAGGGAGTGGGCGCTGCAGGGGCACCAGCCAGGCTGCTGGTGTGAGGGTCGCTGGTGGCTGCTGGGGGAGGGGGAGTTCGCCACAGTGACTCCAGATGTGCCGGGTCCAGGACAGCCACAGTCGGGGGCTCACGCAGAGCCGGGCGAGCCATGCTTCACCCCTCCCAGCGCCCAGCATCGTCAGGTGGCTGGCACAGGAGGGAACCTCGGCCAAGATGCTCAGGTCTGCCCGGAGAGGGGCAAGGCCAGCCTTCAGTCCACGGCGAGCGGGTAGGTGGGCAGGGGGCAGCACCCAGCCAGATCCGGGGCAGCTGGCCACTGGCTCGGGGATGGGGTGGCGTGGTGCTGTCCGTCATGCCGTGGTTGAGGCTTGGGATCCAGATCACAGTGGAAGGTCCGGCTGGGCAAGTTGGCATCTATCCTTCACCCTCTGGATATGGCACTGCTCTTTCAGACCCCCAGTCCCCATGGAAAGTCCTCACCAGACACACAAAAGGAAGGGGAGGGAGCCCAGCCCTGGTGAACTACCAGCTCCCCCCGAGGTCAGGGGACACTCACCCCCGGAAACAACAGCTGGACGCTGGGCCGCCTGCCGAGCTAAGTCACGGCTCCCAACTTGTCAAATGCCCACACAGGGAAACACCGCAGGACGCTTCTTACCCAAACTGGATGCTCCTGCAAAGCTTGAAGGGAGGGTCCCCAGGGGGGCTCTGGCCAGAAGCACGCACAAGCTGCCAGCATCGGGGCCACAGACCCTCTTGGACAGCACTGGAAGGGTGGCTGGCTCCCGCAGTGGGCCCGAGATACTAAGGCACGAAGCTACCTAAGCCCATTGGGGTGGGGCGGGGAGAGGACAGGCTCCAAGTGGCCCCCTTGAGTCGGAAAAGCACACAGTGACCAAGCCATAACGACAGCCTGGTTTTTTCCAACGCGTCACAGACTGGAGGCGCAGGGTGACGGCCCGGGGGTGCCAATGGCTCTTGCGAAGAGGGTCTCTGTGCTCTGACGGTTCCCCCCAAGGGCTCTGGAGAGCGGGGAGAGCCCTGCACGCGGCTGGCATCTCCGCTCAGGCCCAAGGGCCAGTCCCGAGCTGGAGTTTGGGAGGCGGCTGCTCAGCTGGAAAGGTCGTGCGGTGATTCCAAGGCCCTGGGAAGGGCCGGCCGGTGCCCCATCTATCTCCACCAGGCCCTGCGTGGAGATCCTCAGGATGGAGCGAGAGCGGGGAGGGGAGAGCGGGCCAAGGCCCTGGGGCCTCCCGCACCCTAGTCGGGCAGGCAGAGCCCGGTCTGGCGGGCGCCTCGCACTTCAGGGCTGCCGGCGCAGGCCCGGGCGCCCAAAGGCCGGGTGCATGAGGTTCTCCGTGATGTAGGCCACGAGTAGGCAGATAACCACGAGCATGACGCAGATGGAGCCGCCCACCGCCGTCATGGCCACAACGATCTCCCGCATGCCGGCCGGCTCGGCGGCGAACTCCACGCACTCGGCGGACGCGGCAGGCTCCGGGACGACGGTGGGCTCCGGGGCGACGGCGGGCTCGGCGCGCAGCGGTAGCGACTGCAGGCACAGGCGGTAGCGCACGCCGTCGTGCACGTCGGGCAGCAGGTAGTCGCGGCAGGAGGCGCCGAGCAGCACGCGCTCGCACGGGAAGCGCGTGTAGGCGCCGCGCCACGAGCAGTTGAGCGCGAAGGCGCGCACGCGGCGCGCCTCGGCCGGCGCCAGGCGCCACTGCAGTAGCACGCTGCGGTTGCGCAGGACGCTGGCGCGCAGCGAGCGGCCGGCCGAGGCGTGCGCCGCGCAGGCGGGCGCCTGGCAGCGGAAGCCGCGCGCCGGGCTGCGGAAGCACAGGCGCCCGCCGCCCGCCTCGGGGCCCTCGGGCAGCACCTTGTAGGGGCACCACGGCGCGTCTGCCGACGGCTCCCAGCCCGGCGGCGTCGGGGCGGCCGCGGCGCAGGGCGGCGGCGCGCAGGCGGCCAGCAGCAGCAGCAGCAGCAGCAGTGGAGCGCGCATCCTGCGGCTGGGCCGGGCGGCGGCGGGGCGCGGGCTCGGGGGCGCACGGGCGCGGGCAGTGGGTC